ATGCTTTTAACGGAAAACTTTTCCGTTAAAAGCATTTCGGAAAATCATGCCAGTGTAGACATCGCCTTAGGGTATTAGGCTTAACTGGCTTGTTCTGTTTATTTTCATTTAGTAACTTACTTTGATCTGTCTGTTTTCACTTGCAAGCACTTAAATCCCACTTTATATACTTAATAAAAACACTTTTGTGTACCCCAGTGTAAATAATTGTTACCTAGTGGGTAACACTGAGACTATCTCACTCATTGATAAAGAGGATGAACTTACAAGCTTTTTTGTGTGTAAAACTTTTATATAAGATAAGATTTATTTAGAATATTGGTCTACTTTGGGGCTGTGTTCCTGGTGTTGTCACTGGCCTTATAACTAAGCCTTCCTATTGCCGAGATGGTTCAGCGTCTGTGTTGCTCTATTGGGGGGTTGTTACCCCAATTCTGTGCCTTGGCTGGTGGAGACCAGAGCTCCTGGACAAGCAGGACAGGTTGGTGGGATGCCCCAGAAGGTAGATAGGCAGGCTCAGTAGCATGACCTGCACACTGGAGCTAAGTTTAGACTGCAGCCTTTTTCTGCAAAAGCTTATGCAAATAAAGTGCAGAGTAGAATATCACCGCGCTTCAATTGCATAATTAATTATCAGCCATTTTTGCGCAAGAGGCTTTTGCCTCATTTTTTCAGGAAGAATGGCTCTTGCGCAAGAGGGGGGTTTTGCACAAAAAGTAATCGTCTACACAGCTCCTTTTTGTGCAAAAGCCTCTTGTGCAAAAACAGCTGCTAATTAATTATGCAAATAAAGCACAGCGACAATCTTTTGCAGAAAAAGACTGCAGTTTAGACATAGCCTGCGTGACAATCTCTGTGATCTATCCCATCACACATGATCAAGTTGACAGAAGAAATTAAAAGAAAGAGTAAAGGGCAGTCAAATGAAGGAGGCCTACATGACAGCATAGGTAGAAGTCCTCTCCCAGAAGGGGAGGAACTTTAAAGATATCTGACTACAGTGTCGGGTCTTGAACATAGGAAACTGTTGGGAAAAGCAACAAAAAAGGCGATCCATAATGCTTGTGTGGCAATCTTACCAATCTTGCCTTGTCAAGTGAATGTGATATCACTTTTTGAGGCCTACTTTCCATTAAAGCATGTTGATAGGCATTAGTTATATTTCCATCCTTTAATCCTTCATTGCTTTGGCAATGGGATTTTTCAGTTGGTTCTCTCAATACACGTCAAATGTATTTCTTCACAAAAGTCATAAGCTTTCAAAGAAGCACTAGAACAGTTCCTCTAAGAAACACACTTATAACAACTAGTTGCCCCTTGCCCATTCACTGTTGATATTATTTTAAAAGAGTCTCAAATGTTTGTTTAAATACACACATGGCACGTGGGAAATTCTAGGAGCTATCAGACTGATTTAAGGATGATAATTCAGCCACTAAATCATGAGAACATTCATATTTGAGGGGCCCACAAAAGACAGTTACCTATTCTGTAACTGCTGTTCTTTGAGATGTGTTGCTCATGTCCATTCAACATAGGTGTGTGTATGCCTGTCACATGCACCAGTGCTGGAAAATTTTCCCTAAGACTGCCCTGGGCTCTCTGCTACTCCACAAGAGACCACAGAGAGATTGGGTGTGTTACCACAGCACTGAAATCACCACATCACTCCGGTATGAATGATGGACAGACTATTTGTGAGTCTTCCTCATCCAAGCAGTTGATGATTTAACCAGCATGTTAAGAAGCCATGTGAAAACACTTGGCGTGTCCACGGTGAGGTAGGGTGCATTGTCTCTTTCCAGAGAGGGTTGTCATGACTTGTGTGTCTGGGTAAACAAGCTCTTTGTTTGCTTTGTGAAGAGGTGTGATGTTCTGACTTCCAATTTCAAGGGATTTGTTCTTTTGTCTTTGGGCTGCACATTGCCTAAACCTGAATGGAATTAGCTGCTACAATGCATTTCTGAGTTATTCTGACACACAAAGTTAAACCTGTGCAAAAAACCCCATGTCCAGTGAGAGAAAGCTCTGCTGTCAGAAGAAGTCAATTCAAAGTCTCTTCAATTTTCTTCAAAGATCGCGTCTACCAGGCAGTGGGGTTTTTACTGATAGTTCCTTTATATTTTTGAAGGGTGACTAAATGTTAACTGGATCTTGAGTAATGTTAACAGATTGCTTTGGGCCCAATCCTAGCTTAGTTTAAATTGGATCAGGCCCTTTGTAAGCAGGTTGGGAAGAGGTCTCATTTGGCAGTTAAGTATTACTTACATAATATAGGCATTGCCATCATGGTATTGACATATACATTTCTCAGCAGCTTTACATATAAAATAGTTCAGCCCCATTGACCTCTATGAGAAATGTACCTTTCAAGCAGTTGTGGTGAGGGTTACTGACATGGTCTTCTTCACCCTGTAATTGTCATGATTAGTTCAGTATTTCCAGGATGGATTGTGAAAATGGAGGACACTCAATAGTTTTGCAGTAACTTAAAAAAAATGTAGTTTCAGTACATTTAGGGATGTAAATTCTCATTAATCAGTTAACCTGTTAATGTTAACTCACAGCATGGCTGCTGTTGGCTCTCAGCCCCCTCTGGAGTAGCTCCTGTCCACAGGAGGCTGGACTCCCCACAGAGACACTGCTCCAGACATTTGCGCAGTCCCTGACTGCCAGTGGGCCCTCCCACAGACAGGGACTGCTCCAGAGGAGAGCAACCCCTGTCTGAAGTGGGCCCTCTGTGGGGCTGCAGCAGCCTCCTGTCTGCAGCAGGTGGGGAGCTGCTCCAGCCCCCAACGATTACCAATTCATTGGAATTCGTAAGCATCTTCCATTAAGAGGACTAAGGAAGTAGTCCCATGAAACTGTGGGATAGTTCAGGATGACTCCTAGGCCCAGAGTCAAATGGGGCTACATTTACTATGTAAAGTAAAAGGTCTCAGATCTTGAGACCTATTGAATCGACTTAATGGACCTCTAGTGCTGCAGTGTCATGGGACGCTAGGTCTGGGGCCTGGGTTAATGCAATTGTAGAATAGTTGGATGGGGGCATCTTATTGTGCCCAAACCCATTACTCTTGGTAGAGGACAGTGAGAGGAGTTCTGAGAAGGGTTACATGAAACTTCTGGTCATGTATCCATCTTGATCCCAGAAGTACTACCCCAGGGGTGGGACTTTCCTGTGGCAGGTGGGTGTGGCTAACAGGGGTCGGGGCATGGCTAGCCGGGGTCAGAGGGTGTGGCTAATGTGTCCCTATTTTTGCTTCAGAAAATATGATCACCAAACCTATAGATTAAGCTGGAGAGGGAGTTGAGTCAGCAGGCTGCATGCCCTCCGTAAGACTGGTCCAACCTGTTTCTCCCCACTGTTTCAATGAGAGTGAAAGAAAGGCTCCCTAAGGAATCTCCTGTGGCTGGACTGTGCTTTGGGCCAAGAGCTGAAATCACTGTGAGTTGAAATCACTAGATTTGGTCCAGAGCCAAATCCACCACAAGCCAGTGGAAGATGCGATGAGCAGCTAGTAGGGTGAAAATGTAGAGGTGTGGGGAGCAGCCAGCAGAGAGGAGGCAGTGAGGGGCGACGAACGGCCAGCAGAGCAGCACCAGAGCAGTGAGCAGGTTGATGGCGAGTGACCAGTACAGTGGGTGAGATGCCTCTTACCCCACTCCTCCCTTCTCCCCCACTCAGGATGGATGGTGAACTCTGCAGATCACCTCTCAACTCTGGTCTGCCTTGACCAAGAGCAGTGACAGTGAGTGGCATACAAAGATGGGTTGGGCATGTGAAGGGGACGCTTACATTGCTGGGCTTGAGAGGAAAATGGGATATTCATTCGTGGTTTTGGTTATGAACTTTGTTTGTGGTGTTTTCCCAAAATAATGCCACATTACTTCCCTCCCCTTTTAATAAAAGTTTCTTTTCCACACTCAGACTCTGTGCCTGCGAGTGGGGAAGCATTGCCTCCCAGAGGAACTCAGGGGTGTTGTGTGAATTTCCCAGGTTACTGGGTGCAGGCTTGAGCCGTGCTCACCCACAGCCGATTCTGTGATGGATCAATGGAGAGGAACTCCTAGATAGTTAATCCAACCCTGACTGCTGCTGGTGCTACCTGACAGAAAGGTTATATCATCTTTACTCATATTGAGAAGTATATTGCTCCATAAGTTGTCTCATTTAAATCAATGGAACCAAATGCAGAGTATAAGATATTCCATGTAAGTAATGATGACATGATCTGGCCTGAAGTCAATAGGAATTTTGTCCGTGTTCAGACTACTAGAGCTCATTTATTTCTGAAAATGCAGCCCATTGCTTTGGAAATGATTATCACATAGAGAACATTCTGACCTTAGCACGTGATAAACAGATGTAGGACTGGGTAGCAGAAAACCTTTAACATATACAGTAGAACCTCAAAGTTATGAACCCCTTGAAAATGGAGGTTATTCATAATTCAGAAATTTTTGTAACTATGAACAAAATGTTATGGTTGTTCTTAACACTGAACATTGATTTAACATATAATTGAAACTTTATTATGAAAAGGAAAATTAAAAATAAAAGATAAATGCTGCTTTCCCTTTATTAATAGTTTATTTTCACACAATACTGTGATTTATTGTACTTTTTTAAAATCTCTGCTGCTGCCTGATTTTGTGTTTCCAGTTCCAACTGTAGTGTATAGGTGACTGGTCAGTTCACAACTCTGATGTTTGTAACATTGAGGTTCTACTGTATTTGATACTTAGCAAAAGTGCCAAAGGCAGCTCTGAAAAGAATGAAGGTCTATTTCTCTGTTAATGATCTATGACTATGTAAAGATTTCCATAATGTGAAAGAGTTTAAAGTCATACTGTTAGCTTATCAGTCAGATGATTTTTTTTTTTTGGCCAATTTCTTAATTATTAGAAGCCAAAATTTTGTATTTCAATCAAATTCATCTTCAGGAAGAAAAAGACTATTTATAAATATTCATGTATTGAAGATTCACTACAATTACCTGGGCCGTGGAGTTTTGTGGATTATATATCAAGTTTTTAAATGTGCGTCTCGACACCCACTTGAGCTGGTGTAAGAAGGAAGTGCTGTATGTTATTTGTTGGAAATCTGCACTCATCCTCCTTTTATTTTTCAAAGACAGTTTCTCTAATTCTGCTTTTGTTTCTTTGTAGTAAAGGGAACTGGAAAACAGCTCTGCTAATCTCTCAGCAATAGTCTTATCAGCTCTCACCTCTTCAATGGTTTCTTCAGATTAAAAAGAAAAATATTGTTGTAGGAGCAGTAGTAATAAAAAGCTAAAGACACAAATTACTTCATGTCAGTTTAGGTATGCTGAAGTTTTCTTTTTTTTTCTTCTTTCCCAAAAGTGCTCCTTTTTATTCTCAAAAATCTCTTACCATAAATAAATAGAGATGAGATTGAACCAGAATCCCATATCCAAACCTGCAGAATGGTACAACAATTCAGATCAGGATCAAAGTTTCAAAGCTCTAGTTAATTTCCGTATCAGGCAAAAGAGAGAATCCCAGCAGCAGGATGGCTAGGACCAAGTTAGGGATTATATGGAAATGTTTATGGAAATGATGACATGCACTGTACAATTTATTTCTGGGCACCGTCTCCCAGGTATTTTAAGTGAATAAAACTGTGACCTAGTTAAATTACATTTATTGCCGCCTGCTTTTCTTTCATTATGGCCAGAATGTGTAATGGCAAACTAAACATATCCCAGAATAAATTGTGTGATTTAGATGCCAAGACTGAAGAGGTGGAAAATAACTAAGTAGAAATACTTTGTTACACTACTCAAGTACATTTTTTTAATATTTGTACTTTACTCAAGTAATTTATTTCTTTAATACTTTGACTTTTACTCAAGTCGTTTTAAGTACTTAGTGGGGTTCTGAAAGCAATGAGTAACTGACAGTTGAGGAAGCCAACATTCCGATTTGCTAAAGCACAGCTGCATGTGCAAAGCATCCAATTGTCATGCAGTGATGATTTAAAAAAAATAAATCAAGAAACACAATGACCCTGCCAATGAAGGAGCCTTTTAATAGCTGCATCAACACATTTTCATTCAAAAACAGTATATATGCAGGGGTGGAGAGCCCCGAGCCTTCAGGGCCAGATCCAGCATTTTGGGGAGAAGAAGTGTGGTACAGCGCAATGCCACTCCCCCTCCCCCTGGCTGGAGGAATGTGGTGCTGGAAACCACTTATGGGAAGGTTTCCCCACTGCTCCCATTAGCCAGATTTTGGCCAGGGAGCACAGAGCTCCCCCTCATGGCCAGCCCCTACACTCCCATCCCTCTCCTATGCCTCCCCTCCCACCCAGCTCTCCCAGCCCTGGTCCGCTGCTGCACACTCCCACCCTTCCAGACACTCCACCCTTCCAGACATCCCACCCTCAGCCCACTCCAGCACCCAATCTTCCACCCACACCCCAACCCTCACCCCCATCCCTATCCCACTCCTTGGCAACCCCCTTCTGCACACTGAATCCCTCATTTTTGCCTCACTCCAGAGGCTAGGAGGGGGGGCTCACAAAATCTACTAACTCTGGGACCCCAAAAGAGTTAATCTGCCCTGTGGGAAGCCCTGAAGCTTGGTCCTCCCTGCCTCCTCCCCGCTTCCTCCCCACTGTGGGGCTAGAGCACAAGGGGAGCGAGGTCTCTCAGTAGGGGGCCACATCAGTGAGGGTTTTTAGGGTTTGTGTGGGGTTTTTTTTGTTTGGGGGGGTTGCCTCTCACTTGCGTGGCCCCCCAAAGGATTTTTCTGTAGATCAGTGCCCCCGTGACCCAAATAATGGTGCGCTATGATAAATCAGGTGGATAACCATAGATTTCCATAGGACAGCTACTTTTTACTTCTGGATACTTGAGTACAATTAATGTGTGATACTTTTTGTACTTTTACTCAAGTACTTTTGCAGAAGGATACTTCGACTTTTACCTAAATTAATTTTTTTTCTAAATAGCAGTACTTTTACTCAAGTAATTTTTTAAGGTACTTTTTCCACCACTGCAAGATTGTCACACAATTTTCTGTTTGTGTTCTCAGAGAGCTTATATTTTCTGAATGCAACTTTCTAAGAAGTTCCTTAAGAATGTAAAGCAGAAAATTGTTAAAATCTTGGAAGCTGAATCACACAATCTAGCCTTAATCAAGTAACTGTAGACACAAAATTAGAAGCAAAACTGTTTTCCACGTTTAGATAAGAAGTAGCATATGGAACAATGCCTCCTCTACCATACAAATGACTTGAGACCTCTGGAGTGGCTGTTGTTAACAGACACAGTGCAATTGCACCACAGGCATGTCTTGAAGCCCAGAGACTTGGAATCTGACCTGAATATGGGAATATCCTTGTATACAGAAGGAGTGTAGGCAAGCTCTTAGTTAAGTCCTCCTCCCAACAGGCAAAACACAATTTAAAAATGAAGGTTACTCACCTTGAGCAGTAACTGGAGTTCTTCGAGATGAGTGCCCCATGGATGTTCCACATCTGGTCTTGGTGCCATACTGGCATCTGGATCGGAGATTTTCAAGAAGTCCCCGAATGCCAACGATGGTGCCAACGATGGTGCCAATGTCATCAGTGCGGTGGCCTTTGCTGGCACCAGTTTAGGATGTTTGGATCTTTTGGGATTGATACCTGAGCTGGCAGGCAGTGCCATGGTGCCACAGACACTGGGGGCATCATAAGTACTGACACTTGATGACCTCAGCCTTGTAGAGGACTGTTTCTTAGCAGAAACAAGGAGAAGTCCTGTGGCACCTTATAGATTAACAGATTTATTGGAGCATAAGCTTTCATGGGCAAAGACCCACTTTGTCAGATGCATGTTGCACACAAAAGCTTATGCTCCAATAAATCTGTTAGTTTATAAGGTGCCACAGGACTTCTCCTTGTTTATGGAGATTCAGACTAACACGGCTACCCCTCTGATACTTGTTTCTTAGCAGAAAGATTCCTGTGAGGTACTGAGGAGCTCCTCTTCTCGGGCATCTTCTTGCCCTGAGGAGAACCTGGAGGCGATCGTACCACTGTAGGTTGTGATCCCAGGTGAGAAGCAGTGTGCGAATTCTTCTCTAGTAGAATTAACTTCAATCAAAGGTCTCTATCCCTGCAAGCTCAGCCAGCGGTTCCCAACCTTTTCCAGATGGGGACCCATTTTGACAATTCAGGAAGACTTGGTGACCCAGGGCAATTCAAAAAATGTATGAATGGCTCCTTAAGAGCCACCTGGGGAGATACCTGGTGACCTTTTTGAAACGCAATGGTGACCCATATTTGGGTCCCGTCTCATAGGTTGGGAAACCCACCTAGCCTTAAGTTTGGCCCAGTGAGGGCTGTGCTGAGGTGAATAATCTTCTCTGAGGCATCTGACGAATTGAGAATGTCCCTCAGAAACTGGCATCACCTCTCTGCAGGAAACAGTGTTTGAAGCCTGGAGAACCAGACATCTTGACAGAAGAAACAAAGTTTGTTTGTTTTTTAAACTATTAACGAACTAACAGTAAAAGTAACATGAAGAACAAGAACTATCTAACAAACTAGCTAAAGAAAAGGAGGTTACTCACCTTAGCTGTAACTGGGGGTGCTCCACAGCAGGTGTCAATGCGTCTCAGTGCCACAGAGTGGAACGAGATGTAACGGTAGTTCGAATTAGAAAGCCTAATTCGAACTACCTGCTCCGTGCCGCGTGTAGCTGCGGGCACGGAGTCCGCACTAACGGGGATTTAAAAATGGCGCCGCCCGGCAAGATGCAAATGAAGCCCGGGATATTTAAATCCTGGGCTTCATTTGCAACTTCGAATGACTACATTAACCACCCTAGTTCGAACTAGGGTGGTAGTGTAGACACACCCAAGGTAACCTGCTTCATACCCAAGGTGAGTAACCTAGGGGTGGTCCACAGCAAAGCAATTTGTCTTATGGTGATAGGGACTTTGGATCAGGGAGGTAAACTCTCTTTAGTATGGCCTTTGCTACTATTCTAGAGTGAAAAGGGCTGGAGGAAAGTGCACAGTGCTTAGCAAAAGTTTGTTATGATGTCCATGTAGCAGCACACACATACCGTCAATAGAAACCTTCCTCAGGTAAGCAACCAAAGTGGCAACTGCTCTCATGGAGTGTGCACGGACTGAGGTATCTGGTGATAAATTATTCAAATTGTAGCACACTGTGATGCAGTCAGAGATCCAATGGGATAATCTTTGAGATGATATCTGATGCCCCTTGCTACACTCTGCAATGGAGACGAAAAGTGTTGGGGACGACCTATAGAGGCTAGTTCTGTGGATATAGAAAGAGAGCGCTCTTCAGATGTCAAGCGTGTGCATCTATGCATCGAATGGGTTGGCATGAAACTTGAGAAAAAATACAGGTAAGTGTATTGTTCGATGAAGGTGGAAGGCAGAACATACTTTAGGTAAAAAATTCGGATGTGTCCATAGAGAGACGTTGTCCTTAAAAAAGATGATGTACGGTGGGTCTGCCATTAGGGCAGTCATCTCTCCCACCTGATGTGCTGACTTTATTGCACCTAGGAACGCCATTTTGAGCATTAAGTAGAGAAGAGAGCATGTGGCCATAGATTCAAATGGAGGTTTTGTGAGCATGCTTGGTACCAAATGTAGGTCTCTCAGTGCCTGTGGGGCAGCAACATCAGGATATAACACATGTAGGCCTTTGAGGAAGCATTTGATTGCGGGATGTACGAAGACCGTGGTGTCATTAACTGTCATGTGAAAGTGTTATTGCTGCAAGATGTACTCTATGGGTATGTCTAGACTACATGCCTCTGCCAACAGGGGCATGTAAATTAGGAATACTAACATAGTTAATGAAGCGGGGATTTAAATATCCCCCGCTTCATTAGAATAAAAATGGCCACCGCATTGTGCCAGCTCAGCTGTTTGTTGGCATACACCGGCAGTTAAAGACGGGGATCAGTCAACAAGGAAAGCCGTTGTCAACTGATCACTTATGCCTCGTGAAACAAGGTTTACAGAATCGGTCGACAACGGCTTTCCTTGTCGACCAATCCCCGTCTTGACTGCTGCTTTGTGCCAACAAACAGCTGATCCAGCACAACGGGGTGACCATTTTTATTCTAATGAAGCGAGGGATATTTAAATCCCCGCTTCATTGACTATGTTGGTATGTCTAATTTACATGCCTCCTTCCGCAGAGGCATGTAGTCTAGACATACCCTAATTGAGCTCATAGAAACGTGG